AATTAGCACAGAAACAGTACTATATAACATTTTAGACACATTCTAGACAGTTTATCAGCTAAAAAATGTTAATTTTGGGGTAAGTTACTCTTTAATTTCTGAGGGCAGCTTGACTATATAGACCTTCAGTCTAAGATTTTATGTAAACTTTGTCACTATAGAAAAAGAGAAGATATCAGCACAACTCTAGAGTAGATCAGGTTCCCTCCGACGCTGAGATAGGGGGTTGCGCAATCAGTGTGTATGCCGAAATAGCTCAGTTGGGAGAGCGTTAGACTGAAGATCTAAAGGTCCCTGGTTCAATCCCGGGTTTCGGCAGTTTTGACATCGAAGGAGTTTTCGTTTAACACTTGCTAAGCTATCTTCACAGCCTCCAAAGTACCTGCTGTTAAATACAAATAAGGATTTGTTTGTTTAACAGTTAAGATTGTTTTTGAACACTAAATTATAACTTTTTGTTTTTACTTTCATGGTTTCAAGTGTTGTGGGTTTTTTTTTCTGTCAAGACCAGTGTAGTGCACAAACCGTTATCAAGCCTCCGGCAATGAAACACAAACTTTTAAGTCGCCGACAGCAAAGCACAAAGCCCTAAATCACCACCGGGTTTCCCTCAGGCTCTGATGGCTGTTCCACCTATTTGCTGTGTGAGAAAACAGCCTGTGACTAATGATTCAGGTCACCATTGTGATCCCGTATCCATCTGCATCCATGACTGATGGTGCGAGAAAACGAGGGGGCCAAAGGGCAAACCTGGAAACTGAGATGTTATCAGGTTTTTTTTTCCATCTGGAATAATGAACTGTGTGGAGCGAAGTGATAAACCACAAATAGTTCACTACTGGAAAGGCTTGAAACGAGTCAATGGAAGTCAAATACAGAAAGATCTATATTCATGTTATCATCAATGGAGAGCCAGAAATGAGCAGGTCTTTATCGGATTAGATTTTGCCTGCCTGTAAGTCAGAGCTGACATTTAAAAGTGAATCTATTTAATGCAAACAGTTCCCAGATTATAAAGGGTATGAATGGTTTCACATCACTTTATGTTCCAAAAAACTAAAAAATGTGTTTTTTTAAAGGTGCCTTTTGAAACTATAGCACTGCAGTGTTAGAGCAATGCATGTCAACAAAACACAATTTACATAATGTTATAGAGCTCTGTGGAAATGCAGAACACCCAGAGCTAAAATATATTTTTTTCTCCTTGAAAAATGTTACAAACTGTCTATGTTCTGGGTGACATGTAAAAAAATGTCCTTTATGTGTGGGGAAAATAAGCTGGTTGTACAGGTGTCTGTGCATTCAGCTTAATAACAGACCATGCTGGATGTTGATCTTATAGTGCATGTACATACAAGACTGTAACAAAAACAAAAATAACTCCAGTGAGGTTTGCTCATCTTCACCAGCACGAAACTGAAATAAAAAGCATCTTCACGTTTAAAGGGGCAATATTATGCGTTTCTCAGGCATACATTTAAATACTATACTATAATAAAGTATGTATGTCACCTTTAGCTGTTATTAAAATGCTGTTTTATGTTTAAATAGAAAATAAACTTATCTTCTCATCACTTCCTCTTCTAAACGCCTTGAAATTGGCCTCGGTCTCTTTAAGAACCACCTTCCACTTCCGTTTTGCCGATTTCAGTGGGGACGGGGGGAGGGAGGGGGGGCTGCCATGATGCAGTTTAATTGGCATCTGAAAATATATTTCCTCAAAGGTATTTTGAATCTGAAAAGAGCTTCATTGAGTGAGAACTAATGTTGAGAGCACAGCAGACAGTTAGGTTTCACTTTCACTTGAGAGCCTGCAGGAGTCATGGGCGGGGTGTGTTGGGTGGGGGGAGGGGGTGTGCTCTGCCATGAGGAAGTTTGGCTTAAAGACACGTCCCAGGGCCGTTTCTGGCCCCCACCTGTCGTTTTGCTCCTCAGCATGGCTGCCTAAAAACGCTGCAGGATTTCTCAAACAKGCATGAATGAGTCAAAGCAAGGCTTTGGGCATGTTTTTTATGAGAGTCTAACATTATAACACGATCAACTCAAAAAAGTTGATTTTACATGATATTGCCCCTTTAAAGGATTTCTGTCTGTGTTCTTAATCTGGTGGGAATGTGAAGCAAAAGATCAGACTGAAGAATGCAAAAGCGACCCAGGGACCAGCAGAGGTACCCTTTGTCAATTCATAWTAACAGTGAGAATTCTGTTCTAACGACTTATCTCCACTGGGCTATAAAACGATCTGTTGAAATGAGTCACAGGGTTACAATCCGCTCCTGCACACCCCCTGGCAACAAAGCCAGTGACTGACCAGTTGGAGACGGAGCATTTTTTTTCTGTCCCGTCTGTCCCCAGAAGCTGTGTGTGTGTGTGTGTGTGTGTGTGTGTGTGTGTGTGTGTGGCAGTATACAGCCTGTTATTGAGGCACACTGTCTGGTATTCACAGTAGCACAGCACATTTTAGCCTTCTTCTTTTCGTTCATCTGCCCACACACTTCACAGTGGCACAGAGGAATGTGTTGTTTACTTGAACTGTCCAGCTTTGACAGCCCTCCTGGAAATGACCGGCCATGCAACGTTTCACAGTGGCCAGTGCGTAAATTTAATGCTTGCATTTTCAATAAAGCAACAACAGGGTGTAGATTTAAAGAAAAACATTTTCCAGTTTTGCAATGGAAAAAAACCCTTCTCCTATGAACTCTTATTCTCAACACTAAACACATTAGATTAGTGTTGAGAATAACTTGACTTTTTCCCTTTTTTATTTTAATGAAAAGTGATAAAAAAAACACAGATAAAAAAAACAATGTAAAATAATCTATTTTAAAAGTTCTCAATACATTTAAACTTCACTCCTTTTTGAACAAGTAGCTAAAATGACTGATTTATAAGTTACAAAACATAGTTTTTGTATTCTTGTGTATATATTTTTATGTATGTGTATGCATTCTTGTTTTGTTTTTATTTGTTTTAAATAAATAATATTTATCTATCCATGCATCCATCTATCAATTTAAAACGTAGGCTCATTCCATGAGAATAAAGCAGAGCAGGAGTGTTACCTACATAGATTGGAATTAAGGTAGATTATCACTGTTTTCTATATTGGTACAGGGTGGAAATATGAAAGGCCAAGACTCAAGTGCAAGTCATGTTGGGTAATAACATTTTGTTTTTGTGCTGCTTGTGTAGACTCCTCTGCTTGTCTGTTAAAATAATATTCAAAACATTTAACTCATAGACGGATCAAACATCTGACCTTGGCCTTATTATCCCCACACAGCTGAGCTAAACAGTTCCATCCCACCACGTTTCACAACACGCCTGCTTCATGTGAAAAGAAATGTGCATGTTACATGTGGATGATAAGGGTTTGTTGACTTTACTTTCAGGAGGCGGGGGAGGAAAGTCTTCCGTGTCCATGTTTGCTCCTCTTCTCCTGAACAAGCTCTATGGGAATCAACTACGGCAGCACACATTCCTAAAGGAGGAAAGAAAAAAAAAWGTCAAGAAAAGCAAAACAGACATTGTTGCCAAATAATATTTCAAATTCAATTTGACAAAAAAAAGGCAAGTTAGGCATTTCTGGCTCAGTATCTGCAGTCGGCAAGTCAACAAAGCTTGAACACAATTCAACTGTTAATTTATGACAATTACAAGCAACATGGGAGCATTGCTATTTGGTCACAGCCTAATATCTTTAATTTCATAATCACAATCTGAACCAGAGCTGAATCAAACAAATGAAGTGAATCAAAAACAAAAGAAGCCCTTATCTTGTTCCCTGAGACTAAGGCGTGTGTGTAAGCGTACAAAACATAATACTTTCATGAGCTAATTGCAGGCATTTTGAATCTCATGAGTATAAACAAGCTGGGCCATCATTTTAATGAACGCCTGTAGAGTAGCCATTAGGTAAACTAGCTTGTGGGTGGGGGGATTATATTGTTAAAACTAATTTTATTCAAAGCAAGTTCACATTTAAATATATTAACTTGTTTATTGTACCAGTTCAAAGCAAGTCAATAATAGCCATGCATCCCTCTTTTATTTTGCTCTACTTTATCATAATGAGCTAATTTACTACAGGCCTGGAATCAGTTAATCTTCTGCAAGTCGATTCATATCCACGGTAAGACAAGTCAGATGCAGACTGGCTAATTAAACACAGCTAAAGGCAACAATTATCTGTTTGTTCAAGTCAAGCAAAAGTCTATTATCACGTTCGATTTACAAAAGGCCACTTTATGCCTCAAGCTACGAAAWATGTTAACACAAAACTGTAGCTCTTTTTTATTCAGTAGATTTTCCAAAATAATCTGGTTTTTGGCTCCTAAAGAAGGTCAGACGTTCACYGCATTGTTACCCCATTTTTAGGCCCAAGCCAAATACCATCAGCATGCTGAGTCAGGACAGACCTGTGGTCCTGCACGGGCACGAGTTAAATTACATTCCTTAGAAAGACACGTTTGTTTTCTGACGTACAACTCAAATCARCAAGTGACAGTTTCTGTCAAATGACTCCCTTAAGATGTGCTATTTCCAGTAGTTTTCAGCTTGCTAATGACAAAGTCATGACGTCATGTTGTAGCATAAAGCGGCCATTGTTATACCATGCAGGACCAGTGCWGTATCCATACAATCTGCTTTCTTTATACAAGAAATAAAGACTTTGTAGGTCTGTCTATATCTGGCTAAGACAGATTTGCACAGAAGTGCAGCGAACAAGAACGACAACTCATTCTGAGACTCAAAGATTGTTTTGTCTGGGAATAATGTGAAATCCTCTGCCTCGTTGTTCTCTGTCCTACTCGTGTGGCACGATGCCAGAACAGAGGCCACGAACATACAGGGCCAGTGTCTGGTGAGTACAGGGGAGCTAACAAGTGATGCTAACAAAAGCAGGTTGAGTATACATTGCCTGAGGAGATCTTTCCCTGCACAATAATAGAGACAAATCCACAGAGACGGACAAGAGCAGCTACTTTTTATTGTTACACAATTGTGCAATTGACAATGACTCCATCTTTACATGATACACGTGATAAACTTGAGAACAGTGATTTATGTGTGTAAGTAACAACCTACAGGAGCTCCAAGTGTGACTCATCTTTTCCTTCCATATCACTCAGATTTAGGGATGTCTCGATCAGATACTCAGTATCGGTGGCAGATTTCGCCGTTTTTTTGAAAATCTGGTAGAATTGGATTTAGTCACGTGATCTGGCCAATCCAGTTTTCGCGACGGTTTTCAGCATCATCATGCTTTACAACTGCCGTTAAGAAGTCAAGACACACACAAGTATGCGACCATGTCCACAGCGTGGGAACACTTTTCAATGGAAACAATGATGCTGAAACTGCATCTTGCAAAATCTGCAAACTTGATGTTTCTCGTGGTGGGAACAGCAGGGCTCGCTTTAGTACTGCCAACCTTGTCACTTGGAAAGAAATAAAGAAATAAAGCTATCGGATCGGTATCGGAAAGACTAATCATCAAAAAAAAAAATCGGATTGTATCGGGAGCCAAAAAAATCTGCATCGGGACATCCCTACTCAGATTTAGGTGGGGAAAGGAGGAAAGAAAAGGGTAACAGAAATCGGTACCCTTAATCCTCGTCCTTTTGCGTGCTACTCTGTACAAAAAAAGGAATGCACCATTCTGCAAATTACATCCTGCAAAGCAAGTGGTATGATGTGTTTTAAAATGCAGTTAGAAGCAAACTATCACCTGTCTGTAATTTCAACAAAAGCATTCCTTCCATGTATGGTCTGTCACCGGCCTGTCAGTGCAGGGACATGTAAACTCTGCAACAGCTGAGTAAATGACTACCTCTTACCGATGGGAGAGGAATAGTCACCATAATTAATTTGTAATCCATCCCACATATTGTTAGTGCTTTGTTCAAAAAGTACCATCCTACATTGAGCGCAATGATTGGGGACTACAGGACTAAAAAGAAGATCCAGAAAGTAAAGTCATCCTCACAGTTGATGACGGGCTCAGCTAAGCATGTCATTACATGCTCTGAAGTTTGAGCCATGTTATGCAGACAGGAAAACAGTCATCTAGTTTGCTGTTGTAATGCATTTTGAGCATGTTGAAGAACAGAAAAAAAAGGTATGCTTAGTATCTACTGTAAACAAAGCACAAACTGCTTCTCAATATTGCTAATAATGACAATTTTACAACAACCTAAGAAAAGAAGACAACAAAAAAACTATGCAAAGTTCTTCTTTTTTTCTAGAAACATTAAAACGAATAACAAATCATAAAACATTGTTCAACAGGTACTCATTGAAAAGTCACAACTACAAAAAATGATCAATCCTAATCCACACAATTTCCCTCATATCAATTGATGTATTTTAATTAAAACTTGCAAGCAAAATTGGCTGCCAACTACCAGCTGCGAGTTRATGCCAGTGTATAACCTGCATGGCAAAAAGTTTTTCTTTTTTGTTGGGTTCTTTGGAGAACCCTTCCTGAAATGCGGAATTCCACACAGAAACCCAAAGTCATAAACAAAAGCTTTAGGAGAGGCTGGTGCTACAATACAGAACAACTTGTCTGTCTTTGGCTTAGCTATTCTTTTTTGTTGCTGTGATTCTGCCAGGATTCCACTCATCAGGCCTCCACCAGTAACAGAAGATCCCAGTCCAACAAAGTGTGGAAGAACAGGCTGTAATGTATTGTTGCTGAGGATGGGACAGTGACCCACAGCACACAAAACAGGAGGCGGCACATCTCTCYAGTTTCTTTGTAATTACGGTTCAAGAGCTTGTTTTTACTGGTGGTTTGCCCATTTATTTCAAGTAGTTTAAGCCTTTTTAGTGGAGCTGAATAGGTTTCATTAGGGGTGGTAGATCTAAAATAATCTGCGTCCATACATTTTTTATTGTAAGAATCTTTGGCTATACCAAAAGTACGTATGAGAAACTAACTGACCAGCTTTAATGCCCCAACAATTTCTAGTAAAAAACAATGAAAACCAAAATCCATTTGCAAAATTACTAAATTAACCCCCCCACCCCACTCTCTGATGAAAATGTTCTGGGGTTTACACACACAAAATGAAGCTAGTACCCAGAATGTGAGCCAACACAGCACACTGCACCACCCTCTCTGACCTCAAACTGGGTGGAGAGAGCTTACAAACAGGCAAAAGATTACTGGCATTTTAAAGAATTTTGACTCATGGGAAGTAGGAAGAAGATACGACGAGCTACTAGCTTCAATTAGATACCTAATAACTGAGGATTGTCTAAAGAACAATTCAGCAATGAGGCCCAGGAGACTGCAAATATGTYTTCAGATGTGTGAGCGACTCAACATGTGAGGATATCTGGTTTATGCAACGCAACACAAAAATGAAAGTTTTGTTTCTAAACTGAACGTGGTTCACAATAAGCTACCTCRCTGGCCCATCATTTTATAATATTCATCATTTGATGTATTTATATATTTTTGAACATTTTTAAATGAAAAAGGTGTTTTTGACAACAGCTGTGACTTCTTTTTTTTTAATAAAAGAGGAAAATATGCTATCAGGAATAAAACAAACAACAACCTAGGCCTGCATAATAAATCTGGYGTTTATCTGAAAGCTTACTCTGTACGGCCTTGGCTGTCACTCCTAACTGGTCTCCACCCACCCAGTAAGCCACACAAAAGCATTTCCAGTCCAACATGTCACCAAACGAACACTACTGAGTGTGTGGAGAGGCTGCTCCAAAGAGCTTTTTGTCAACCGGTTGGGTCTGAAGGAATTTCTTTAAAAGAATGGAGAAACGTTGTGACATTGTGATAAACGACTACAAAAAAAGAGGAAACTCAAAAGCTCTTGCTCATGCAGAAAGCTCCTGCTATCAGGCCCTGGTTTTACTCCTGGTCTTGTTAGGAGTGTGGTCCTCCATAGCTCAGTTCAGAGAGCACTGCTCTATAAGCACCTAAATAATAGGATATAGGAAACTGCGGCTACAATACATAGCATTTAGGGTTTGACCATCATGTTCTTGAGTTAGAATTGTGTCTAAATATAAACCATTTCCCCAGCTGCTGAACAAATGTGTGGTATGTGATTTCTCACATCCACCTGCAGGAGAGCGGCGGCTTTTCTTTTTCCAGCTGTTGCTTAAATATGTCGCTAATCTGTGCCTTATCTCAGTGGATTATTGGGTGGATGGCGGTTGGACAGTTGCTCCATATCAGACTTTCTAAAAATGAACGGCATGCTCCCTTAATTGAACCGCAGGGTACCTCTGGCACCCTAAGCTTCATGAACTGTTGAATTTAGCAATTTCTGGTTGTTCTCCTAGGAAATACACCTGTTTGTCTATACTGGTGTTTAAATTTATGTTAAGTGGCTTTCATAAGGTTTACACATCTACAAATAAACAAACACAAGTGTCATAAATTTAAATATTTAACGCAGCTGTAGTCAGAGTCTTAAAATGATTATTTGTGCTTCCTGGACGGCCTTCTTCAGGTGTTATTAAAGGAGGAGGAGGTATTCAGTGCCAGTATTTGCAGACCAGGCCACCCTGGTTATTTGCCAAACAAATTACCCACATAGGCTTTTGTGTACTTGCATGTGTGTGTGTGTGTGTGTGTGTGTGGACATGTTTTTGGTGACATATGAGGACAATTTTAAGACAAAACAACTACATGTGGGGACAACTGGTAAATATGGGGACCTAAGTTGAGTCCCTGTTTGGTTTAAAAGCCATTGGTGGGTGGGTGGGTGTGAATTGAGTTTAGGTTAGATTTAGGGTCAGGTAGGTAGGTACCTGTGAGGTTAGCCTTAGGGCAGAGGGTCAGGGTTAGGCTGTAGAAATGTAATGGAAGTCAATGGAATGTCCCCAAATGGATAGCTGTGTGTGTGTGTTTGTGTGTGTGTGACTTAAAGTGCTCCAGCTCACCAGTATTGTGCAGGCAGACTGAGCTGGACACGCATGACACCAGACAATACAAGTGAAGATCAAAGAGCTCTTTGTGTTTAAACCATCTTCTGGTGGCTCAGATTAGAAAAGGCTTTAAAATGTTTCAGGAAAGACCCCCCTCTCAAGGAAACAGCTGAATGAAATGATGTTTTATGACCTGTTTAGTCTGATCTTCCAGTTGATTAGAGCTGTGCAAGGCTCTCACTGAGGAATGCTATGCATGACTACTTGAATTTGTAGCTGAGCTTTACCTCAGGAAGACAGCTTTTTTTTTCTTCTTCTTAAAACCTGAACGAATTGCCATATCGCCAATGTGAAAGCGTTTTAATGGCTTTAGTTGTGACAGTTACTGGGGCTGACCCCCCACCACCAAAAGTGTCAAACTGAACCTGTTTGTTCCTWATATCTAGTCATTTGTTTCGGTGTTTTATGACAAGTCAAAGCTTGAGGAAATCTGTGTTGTTGGCAACATTATAATATTAGCTAGTGCGCCACGTTCCAAGCATCTCACAAATACACAGAGAAAGGCACTATTTCACGCGAAATAAGCATTTTCTATTTTCTATTTTGACACAAGGACCTGTCAGTTAAAGCGTCATCTTCAGAAAGGTGTTCTTAAAACTTTGCTAGAAGTTAGAAAAACGTCTCCAACTTACCATTTTAAGGATYTGACATAATCGAATTGCCGTATCCCGTCACAGTAACATTCCTGTCCTCGACACCACTCAACAAATCATAACATCCCACTTTTCGCTCCTCTTATAACTTGACTCTTTCCCGATGGAAGTGGATTTCATCCACACGAAGAAGAAAAAACCTTTACCGCCTTTCGGAATCTAATTGGTCCAGGGGGTGGTGTCAGACGAACTGTGATTGGCTTAAAGAGATGTCAATCAACATTCCAGTCTCTTCTCCGGTAGGATGCAGCAGGCGACCTGAGGAGCTCCAGCAAAGCTGCCCACGTGACGTGTGAGGTGGCTCCGTTCACACAGCTGTGTCACAGCCATCCTACTGAAACTTAATGCAAATGACTAAAAACTTTTTGTGTAAATTATTAATCATGCTACTTATACCTTTTGCCTATTTTGGTCTGTTTTAGTTCAGAAAAACAAAAAGACATTTGCAAACTAACATCATTTTCTCTCAATTTAAATCATTTAATCATTTGAAGCAGTTGTTTAACACACATTAGCTTTAATGGTTTTCAAATAAACACTGAGTTAATCAAATAAACCTCGCAGCTGTTTCAGTAACCTTATTGTGTTCAGTGAAAATAGGGCTGATGAATAAATAATCCTATACTGCCATCTATAGGACGATATCCTGTACTACAACCTTAACTTCCAAAAGTGAAGAAACACACAAATACACTGGACGCAATGTGAGAAAATCATTTATTTTATCATTGTGTTGTTCCATTTCTCAAATCATACAAACACCCTTGTTGGTTCCTTTAAAAAGTCAACAAAACAGCAAGTCTTTTAGTCATTTAACCTATTTTTTAAAATTACTAGATAATTT